ATTAGCTACATTGGGGATGGGGGAGACATTGAGAGTCTAATAGACCATTGATGTCTCTACAAAAAGGAATTGTCACCTGCCCAATGCTATCACATAGGGAGAATATTACCCACCTTGTGAGAGCAATAAAGCTAAATGGCATATAAAAAATTAAACAAAGCTGCATCACCCTCTACACACCCACAAATGCAAACACGAGCACAAAGCAAATTTAAACAGCAGTTTCACCACACAAAATAAATACAGTATATCACTATGAAAGTCAGAGTAAGAGCAATAATTCTATGGCCATTACTTATGATTTATTTTTAACTGATGAGCTGTAAAGGCATTTAAAGAGTCACCTATTGATAATTTTTGGTACTATTATTTTTCACCTCTTTTCAGGCACACAGTTTTAGGGCTTGACACATTTGACATCTATTTAATCTACACTATCTAATCTTTTTTATTTGTTAAAAAAATGGGGATTGAATTGTGCTTGTGTGCAGTAAAATTAATTTTCCCCAAAAGGGGAAGTTCTGCTTTCCCCCATCCCCTCTTCTTTTTTTGGAGAGAGTGAGAGTTTACCTAGTTTTGGTAGGTACTGGCTGCCACTATGCGTCAGATCACCAACCTGCAAATTGTGATATACTATTAGATCTAGGCCAGGTGACTAGTAGATCAATGTCTGGGCTTGCTGGCCAGCCATCCTAGAGCACCAAAAGACTGAAATGCAGAGGGATTACTTGTAAAGTTGGAGGTGTAGTAGGGAGCAAGAGCTGCATAAGACAATGCCTCTTCTGTAGTGCTAGCTCCTGTCCCATGCGGAGTGATACCACTCAACTTCTTATCCCAGCTAGTGGTCTCCACAATGGTGCCAGCAGCAGGAAAGAAGAGATCTTCAGGTCAGTGGGGATCAATACACTGGGCATAATAGTATAGGGCTACTTTTGCACTGATGTGCTGTGGTTTACCCACACCACGGGTGCAGTGCAGTGTGCCTGCAGCTTTCCTGTGGGTTAGCTGTGCTTAGCTATTGACTTCTATTATATCCTGTGGGTTTGGTGCACTTTCTGAAAGCACACCACATCTGCAGGGTATTATAGAAGTCTATGGCAAAGCACAGTTAAGCCAGGAAAGTTGCAGATGCACTGCGCTGCGCCTGTTTGAATGTAGCATTATAGGGGGCTCAGAACAGTAAGTGTTCATTTATATTTGCATTCAACCCCATAGTTAAGATGTGTTTTTACCACCACCCCACCCCAATATATATATATATATATATATATATATATATACACACACACACACGATTTTGTATTTCCAGGTAGGGGGCACGCACGCCCTACCTGCACCGCCATTTGCGGCTTCACTTGTCGATCTCCGGGGACCCAAGGAACACTGACGGGGGAGAGGTCTGTATGTAAATAATACAGATCTCTCCCCTGTCAGCTCCATCATGCTGTTTTGTATTGCTCTGCATAGCAATACAAAGCAGTGTGCTTACACAGTAAAACACACACAGCTCACCCTTTGATCGCCCCAGATGTTAACCCCTTCCTGCCCAGTGTCATTATTATAGTGTCAGTGCTTTTTATTAGCATTGATCACTGTATTGGTGTCACTGGGGATGTCCCCCCCAGTGTCAGAATGCCCACCGCAGTTCCGCAGTCCCACTATAAGTCATGCCATTGCTAGTATTAAAAATAAGTATATATACCCCATATGTAGACGCTATAACTTTCACATAAACCAATTAATTTATATGTATTGGGACTTTTTTGCAAAGACATGTAGCAGAATACATTTTGGCCTAAATTTATGATGAAATTTGATTTTTTTTAAACTTTTTTACTGGATGCCGTATTTTTCGCCGTATAAGACGCACCTGACCATAAGACGCACCTAGGTTTTAGAGGCAGAAAACAGGAAAAAAAAAAAATTCTGAACTAATGGACTGCAAACACAGTACAGGAGATGACCAGAGACTGCGGACAGCACAGGGATGACCAGAGACTGCGGACAGCACAGGGATGACCAGAGACTGCGGACAGCACAGGGATGACCAGAGACTGCGGACAGCACAGATGACTGCTGACCTTTGGGGAAGTGGGGAGCGGGTACCTGAATTTGACAGGTACCCGTTCTTACTTCCGCAGAGTTTTTGTTTGATCTTACCTGTTCCTCGATCCAGCCGCGCGCTGTCTTCCCGGCTTCTGTAATGGCGCTCGGCATGACAGCCGGGTGCCCAGTGCGCATGAGCGAGAAGCACTTGCGCTTTGTGATTGGTCTGGCGGTTTCTGGGATCTGTCATGTGTCCCAGGTACCGCCTTACCATTCACAAAGCGCACCGCTTCTCGTGCATGCGCACTGGGCACCCGGCTGTCATGCCCAGTGCCCACACTACAGAAGCCGGAAGACAGCACGCCGCTGGATAGAGGAACAGGTAAGGTCCCGCTGCAGAGCTGAGCGGCCGGCCCGGTATTCTGACACGGCCGCGGTGGAAATACCGGACCGGCCGCTCCATATTCGCCTTATAAGACGCACTGACATTTCCCCCCCAGTTTTGGGGAAGAAAAAGTGCGTCTTATATGGCGAAAAATACGGTATGTCTTACAGCAAAAAGTAAAAATTGTTTTTTTTTTTTCAAAATTGTCTGTCTTTTTTTGTTTTATAGTGCAAAAAAAAAAAATGCACCGGCGATCAAATACCACCAAAAGAAAGCTAAATTTGTGGGAAAAAAACCCCATACATTTAATTTGGGTGCAGTATTTCATGATCGCACAATTGTCAGGTAAAGTAGTACAGCTCCGTATCGCAAAAAATGGCCTGGCCAGGAAGGGGGGTAAAAGCTCTGGACGGCAAGTGGTTAAAGCAGACAGTGTTGCGTTGAGTTCTCACCACCTGCTTTAAGCCCTTGGACCCCGCAGAAGCAAATAGTTTTGGGGTGCTTGAAGAGTTGCCACATTTACTTGGGTCGCAATCGGCAGGCGGCAGCACCCACCAAAAGCAACAGGGGGTTTAATTCCTGCTGCACCATATGAATACCTGTGGCTGCTGCCTCAGAAGCTAAAGGGGGGTAGTAAAACCACAACTCAACTGCAGGGTTTTACCACCACCCATCGTTACATGCGAACAAGCCCTAAGGGCTCATTCACAAGTGCAGCAGGCACTGCTGCTCCTCTGAAAGTGATCTGATTGTGTTTGATGGGAGGTGAATAGGAGATATGTTGTCTCACCACCTGATTTAAACCCATGAGTTCCATGCAGTGCACATGATTGTGAAGCGGTAATATGACAATTTGAGGTTTAAATCAGGTGTGAGGAAGTGACACTGTGCCCAATGATCTTTGACTTCTCCCATATGTTCATGTACATCTCCACCTCTTTAAGGCTGCCTACCCCTGATCTAAGCGATTCCACCCAAATTTTAATAGCCCTCTTCCATGCCCACAACCTTCTGGGATACATCACAGGTGTCAGCAAACTGCATAACCATTCACACAGTTCAGCACATGAGCAGTGGGAAGCAATCTGTGAAGCCACAAAGAGTCACAGCTAGCTTCCCACAACAAACATGCCAGCGCCAGGGACCCAAAGACCAGCGAAAAACCAACCCTTGTGAGGACGGTGCTGAGTTTCTGGACAGGTAAGTGCCCTTTTAAAGTCATCAGCTACAGTATTTGTAGCTGCTGATTCTAATTTTTTTTTTAAACAGAATGAAGAACCGCTTTAAGTATTTTATTCTCCTGAAAATTAAAATTTGATAAATTGCACAAATATCATGCAACATAAAAATGGCAGCTACTATATTTTTATTCTTCAAGTGCTTTCAGAAAATATGGATATGTTCTTGGGGTTGTAAGTAATTATACAGCCAAAAGATGTAGATTTTAACATGTGCACAAAAAGGGGAACTTAAGAGTGAACAAGCCACACTGGCCAAACTGCTAGCAATTGTTTTGGTACCTTTGGAAAATAGCTAAGTGAATGTTTTCAATAGGGCTTTTCTTTTTTCATGCTTGGCCTGCATTTGTGATGCCTGTTTTTAAGGATAAACACAGTGTTTGCATTTCGATTTAAATCCTCTGGTGCAGTTAATGTCCTAATGAGTCTGACAACCATGTACACTAACCCTTATGTTGCTCAAATACAGGATCTATTTAGTAATATAAATGGGTTGCCCTGCTGAAATCTCATTAAGATGGTTGAATTTGCAGGGAAGTTGTTCTGTGTATGACCAGCATTAGAATGACAGCAAAAAAAGACCCTCAAATGCAGGGCCAGAGCCTTGGTTGTCTTACATTCTACTTCCAATGTCAGTGTAGCTGTATAGGGAATTCCAGAAGGTTGATGTATAGACAGACATGAGAACTTATGATACATTTAAAGTGTATCTATAGTTGATAAGGTTTATTAAAGGAACCAGTCCATCCAGTTCAGCCTTTGTATGTGAGTGTATACATTTTTGTCTTCATCACTTCCCATATCTCCGTATATATATATATATATATATATATATATATTTAAATCTTGGGTACAGTAAAGAATGGTTAAAAGCCCTGCAAGTTTTTGGCCAGGGTTTTTTTCCATCTGTGACTCACTGAAGTAATTTGACTTCCTGCCCTACAGACACAACAAGACGTTAGTGAAAATCCCTATAAAGAAAGTGAAATCCTAGTGACCAAAGTAATAAGGACAATTATTCTCACTAAAAAAGGAGACAGCCCTACAGACACAACATAGCATAAAAAAAAAAGGAGACAGATAGCATAGCTTATCAATACAGAAAACACAAACAGTACACACATAAACGCAGTGGCTTGGCAAGTGGGCTGATTTCAAAGCTATCATGTGTAGTATATTGTTAGTGTAATTTTATATTTACACACACACATACAGTATACTGTATATACACTATATTGCCAAAAGTATTGGGACACCCCCCTCCAAATCATTTGATTCAGGTGTTCCAATCACCACCATAGCCACAGGAGTATAAAATCAAGCACCTAGGCATGCAGACTGCTTCTATAAAAATGTGTAAATGAATGGATCACCCGCAGCAGCTTAATGAATTCAAGAGTGGTACCGTGATAGGTTGCGACCTGTGCAATAAGTCCATTTGTGAAATTTCCTTGCTACTAAATATTCCACAGCCAACTGTTAGAGATATTATAACAAAGTGGAAGCAACTGAGAACAACAGAAACTCAACCACAAGTGGTAGGCCACATAAAATGACATAGTGGGGTCAGCACATGCTGAAGCACATAGTGACCAGAAGTTGCCAACTGTCTGCAGAGTCAATAGCTAAATACCTCAACACTTTGTGTGGCCTTCAGATTAGCACAACAGCAGTGCATAGAGAGCTTAATTCATGGAATGGGTTTCCATGGCCAAGCAGTTGCATCCAAGCCTTACATCACCAGGTGCAATGCAAAGCGTCAGATGCAGTGGTGTAAAGCACGCATCCACTGGACCCTAGAGCAGTGGAGACGTGTTCTCTGGAGTGACAAATCACACTTCTCTATCTGGCAATCCAATGGACATGTCTGGGCTTGGCGGTTGCCAGGAGAATAGTACTTGCCTGACTGCATTGTGCCAAGTGTAAAGTTTGATGGAGGGAGGATTATGGTGTTGGGTTGCTTTTCAGGGGTCTGGCTTGGCCCCTTAGTTCAAGTGAAGGGAACCCTTAAGGCATAAGCATACCAAGACATTTTGGACAATTTCATGCTCCCAACTTTTGTGGGAACAGTTTGGGGATGGACCTTCCTGTTCCAACATGAATGCTCACCAGTGCACAAATCAAGGTCCACAAAGACATGAATGAGCAAGTCTGGAGTGGAGGAACTTGACTATCCTGCACAGAGTCCTGACCTCAACCCGATAGAACACCTTTGGGATGAGTTAGAGTGGAGAATGCGAGCCAGGCCACCTTGTCCTACATCAGTGCCTGACCTCACATATGTGCTTCTGGAAGAATGGTTAAACATTCCCATAGACACACTCCTAAACCTTGTGGATAGCCTCCTCAGAAGAGTTGAAGCTGTTATTGCTGCAAAGGGTGGGCCAACTCAATATTGAACCATACTGACTAAGACTGGAATGCCATTAAAGTTCATGAGCGTGTAAAGGCAGGCCGCCCAATACTTTTCTGTTCATTGTATTATATGCAGATACTCTGTGGACTCTGTACTATGCTGGGATCCAGCAAATGCAATCTCTCTGGAGAACCAAGTTGATGCAGTTAAATTCATTTTTGGATTAGAGGAGTTTGAATTCCATATCAGCTAGCGCACTCTTGCCTCAACAACAATAATTATAATAATCATTATCACTCCTCATCCTTTATATATGACAACATATTGGTGCTGTGACCCAGACAAAGTTGCCAACTGTCTGTATATTTACAGACAGTTTGTAAATGCTGGTCGATTTACAAGCTGTCCGTAAATGTATCTTACAGACAGTGGCCACTGGCCAACTTTGGAACTGTGCATGTGCAATTCCCAAGTCAGATGGGCTCCGACGGGCTCGTTGGGCAGGACTAGAGAGTTGGGGAGGCTCAACAAAGGCTCAGATGGGGAGTCAAGCCATGCAATTACTGCAGTTTCTAACCATGTCTGCAGTCTCTGACCATCTCCTGTACCATGTCTGCAGTCTCTGACCATTTCCTGTATCATGTCTGCAGTCTCTCTGACCATCTCCTTTATCATGTCTGCAACCTCTGACCGTCTCTTTTATCATGTATACAGCCTCTGACCAGCTCTTATATTGTGCCTTTAGTCTCTGACCGTCTTTTGTATCATGTACACAGTCTCTGACTAACTCTTGTATCATGTCTGCAGTCTCTGACCATCTCCTGTATCATGTTGGAGAAGGATCTGGGAGTTCTGGTAGATCACAAGCTTAATAATGGCATGCAATGCCAAGCTGCAGTTCTAAAGTGAGCAAAATCCTCTCTAGTATTAAAAGAGGTATAGACTCCAGAGAAAGAGATATAATTTTACTCCTGTACAAATCATTAGCAAGGCCTGGATTCTTTCTTGGATACACAGAATATAACCGGATACTAACATTTATAGGTAAAGTTGATTCAGGGAATATCCAATTGCCTCTCAGGGGATCAGGAAGGAATTTTTTCCCTGCAGGAGTAAATTGGATCATGCTTTGCTGGGGTATTTTTTTCCTTCCTCTGGATCAACTGTGAGTATAGGATTATAACTTTTTTTTTCTTTTTTAATGGTTGAACTGGATGGACTTTTGTCTTTTTTCAGCCCGACTAACTATGTAACTACAGTGGGGATCGAACGTTTGGGCACCCCAGCTAAAAATTTGTATTAATGTGCATAAAGAAGCCAAGGAAAGATGGAAAAATCTCCAAAAGGCATCAAATTACAGATTAAACATTCTTATAATATGTCAACAAAAGTTAGATTTTATTTCCATCATTTACACTTTCAAAATAACAGAAAACAAAAAAATGGCATCTGCAAAAGTTTGGGCACCCTGCAGAATTTATAGCATGCACTGCCCCCTTTGCAAAGCTGAGACCTGCCAGTGTCATGGATTGTTCTCAATCAGCATCTGGGAAGACCAGGTTATGTCAATCTCAAAGGTTTTAAATGCCCAGACTCATCTGACCTTGCCCCAACAATCAGCACCATGGGTTCTTCTAAGCAGTTGTCTAGAAAACTGAAACTGAAAATAGTTGACACTCACAAAGCTGGAGAAGGCTATAAGAAGATAGCAAAGCGTTTTCAGATGTCAATATCCTCTGTTCGGAATGTAATTAAGAAATGGCAGTCAGCAGGAACAGTGGAAGTTAAAGCAAGATCTGGAAGACCAAGAAAAATATCAGACAGAACAGCTCGCAGGATTGTGAGAAAAACAATTCAAAACCCACGTTTGACTGCACGATCCCTCCAGAAAGATCTGACAGACACTGGAGTTGTGGTACACTATTCCAATATAAAGAGATACTTGTACAAATATGGTCTTCATGGTTCTGAGGGGGTACAATGATGGAACATGTGTGCTGAGGGGGGTACAGGGATAGAACGTGTGCTGAGGGGATACAGGGATATAATGTGTGTGGAGAGAGTACAGTGATAGAACATGTGTGCAGAGGCAGTACAGCAATGGAAGATATGTGCAGAGAGAGTACAGGGATGAAACATGTGTAAGGAGAGAGTACAGCAATGGAATGTGTGTGCGGAGAGAGTACAGCAATAGAACATGTGTGGAGAGAGTACAGCAATGGAACATGTGGGCAGAGAGAGTACAGAGATGGCAGATGTGTGCAGAAAGTGTACAGTGATAGAACGTGTGCTGAGGGGGGTACAGAGGTGGAACATGCATGCAGGTGAGAGTACAGCGATGGAACATGTGTGCTGAGGGTGTACAGTGATGAAACGTGTGCTGAGGGGGTACAGGTATGGAACTTGTGTGCAGAGAGAATACAGCAATGGAACATGTGTGCAGAGGGGATACAGGGATGGAACATGTGCAGAGGGGTACAGGGGTGGAACATGTGTGCAGAGAGAGTACAGCGATGGAACATGTGTGCAGAGGGGATACAGAGATGGGATATGTGTGAAGAGGGGATGCAGGGATGGAACATGTGTGCAGGGAGGTACAGGGGTGGAACATGCGTGCTGATAGTGTAGGGGTAGAACATCATGTGTAAAGTGGTAGTTAAACATGTGTGCAGGGAAGGTGCATTGATGGTGGAACAGGGACATTCTTCCCACTGACCACCAATGTAAGGGGGACATTCTTCCCACTGACCACCGACATAAGGAGACATTCCTTCTACTGACCACTGACTTAAGAGCGGTATTCTTCCCACTCACTACCAACATAAGAAGGGGATTTGTTTTTTACTGGGCACCGACAAAAGGGGGGCTTTGTTTCTACCCGACCACCACCGTAAGGTGGACATTGTTCTCACTGAAACTCAATGAATTGGTTTTAGCAAGGGTTACCCTGAGACCTGAAAATGATGTTAGGGGTTACTGTGGGGTAAAATGTTGAAAGGAAGTGCTTTAAAATGTATAAGGGATATAGTGTAGAACAGCTGTCTCTATAGCTACTGTAGAACTACAAGTCAAGCTGACCCTGCCAATTTATACCATGCCACTATACATGCCAACCCATATCAAACAATGTTTAGTTAGCACAACTGGTGGTACATAGAACAGTCTTTAGAGACCCCATTGGAGGGAGACTTAATGTTTCTGTGACCCCATTGGAGAGAGACTTCCTGTTTCTGTGACTCCACTGGAGGATGACTTCCCCTCACTCCTGAAAAACATGGTCAGAAGTTCCTTGCCTTCCTTGCTGTACTTTAAATATTTTCCGTGACCCCATGGGATATGGTTCAAGTCATCTCCTGAAGTATGGCTACAGTCTTTGATCAATTAGTTTATCTTCTTGTGACAGACCCAACTGGGACAGGGGCTTTTGGAGGAAACTAGAAGCTAGCCTTCTACCCACTGATTATGGCCCATGGAGAGAGCAGATCATTCTCTAATGATGGACAACAACATGATGAATGCTGAGAGCTAGGCTTGAATTAATTCTTTGCATACAGACAAAAAAATCTTCCCTTCTGAAGTGGATGGAAAGATGGAATACTAATATTGTACAGGTTAGAGGTCAGAGGAAATATGGTGAAATCATGCGGACTGGCTTGGAGGAGCTCCTCTATTTGCAACAAAAATATTTATCAACAATCTCCCTCAAGAATTATATGAAGATACATTAATTCCACTGTTCAGAATGTTGGAATATTGTATGAGTTTTGTCTTATGATGGACAGATCATACAAGTGAAAGCAAACACCTGAAAGGCAGCATGTGTAATGGACTTTGTGCATTTGGTGGTGGGTTTGTTGCCGGACTGTCTGCAGTGTGCTCATTGATTAATCAAGGCTGGTCTGGGTGCCTGACTGTTGATTAGCTTACTATTAAGTAGATCACTGTTAGCTGTACTGTTTTACTGTTTGCATTGTTTAGGATGATGTGATCAAGCTCTTATCTAATCAGTGTGGAATGTTTATTCCAATGTGTAATATTTGCGGGGACTGCCACTATTTCTGGAGTGCGTAAAAAATCTGTGATTCTGTTCAATAAAGTAATTCCAGTTTGGCATCTAAGCTAGTTTCATCTAGTCTTGGGTGCAATGCCCGGCTATAATACCTTGGTCCTGTGTCCCAGTGGCAAGGAAGCGCTTCTCTGATGGAATCACCCAATCAGGGTGACATGCGCTCCGTCACACTTCTGTTGTGGCTGGAGGGGTTGAGACCGCATGTGAGAATAGCGGCCACAGCCATTAACAGAAAACTTAGAGGAGGGAGAATTAAGTATGTAATTAAAGTAGAATACATTGAATGAGCTAAACATTTTGCACA